AAGATTCGAGAAAGAAGCTGCTGGAGGAAGAAGATGATGCAAAATTGTAATTTGGTGGGCCCCACTTTTGTTTTTGTGTTGGGTATGGCCATGTCATGATTTATCCAGTTGGACAACTGACGTGTCTTAAATTTTTGATATGTCTGTGAGTTAACGGACGATTTTTAACGGAAGGACCAAGTTGGGGTAAAATTGGTAAACAGTAGGGACCAAGTCAGGGATTTTTTTAGTTCAAGGACTAAATCGGGGGTCCGTACAATAGTTCGGGGACCAAAAAGGGGTTTTAACCGTTTTAAAATAATTAAAAGAAAAAAATCATTTTGCACCCAACTTTTCTGGTTGTCGACTCGGTATACCATCTCTGGCGGACTAGAAGCAATGCTCTGGGCCGAGAATCCGCAGGCGAGAAGCGGCCGGTTGTGGTGGCGCCTCAGCAGGGCCAGCGGATACCCGCGGACTAAAGAAGAGGAGAATAAGGAAGTCAGAGAAGGTAGTCTCAGAGACAATGGCATCTTCAAGTAAGTCGTTGGGGGGTTTCAACGATACGACACAGTGAGAAGTCGGGGAAGACAAGGTCCGTCGTGTTGGGACGATTTCGCGATGGTCGTTTCCATGGGCTGATAGGCCTGTGGGCATGGGTCAGGCAGAGATCTAGATTGAATGGAGGTGGTTTCTTAAATTCCTCCTCCATCTTTCGCTTTGGCGAGACCTTGGATCTCGAATTTGTAAATCTGAAGTTCGAGTTCAGATTCATTGTTTCTTGGAGCTTCCGAGTATTCGTCCAGGTTGCTTCTGAAGTTTCATCGGATGCTGGTGGAGAAACCATCAACTCTGACAACGGCAGGAAGGTTCCTCCAAGGAGAACAGTCTCCACCGCCACCTGGCACACATGGCAGTTCCCCATCCACAGCAGCCCTACTGCGCCGTTCATCGGATTCACCATCCTTCTGCACGCTTCAAACAGCAAGGATTGAAACACAAACACAACACAACACACAACACACGACACAACACAACACACGACACAAGCAATTGGGCACAAAATTGAAAAATCCAAATCCAATTCGAGAAATGTGAGAAAATAATAATAAAAAAAAAAGGACACACCAGGACGCTAAGATTCTGGAACGGTGTAAAGGAAGGAGATGAGGCCAGAGTGGCCAAAAAACTTGCGACGAAAACGGTGGCGTGGCCTTGGCCTCGGCGCTGTCGATCCACTGAAGACAAGGACGCAGAATACAGGACTCCCTACATCCCTTTTGCAAAACGCTACACCCATTGCAACTCATCGAATTCGATCTGGAGTTGTTTGTTTGGAAGAACATGCCTTTTTTTTTTTTTTTTGGCAGAGATTGAGAACCCAGCTTGTGACTGGGTTTGTGATGAACCCAGGCGCAAGCTGGGTTCATTGACAACCTAGTCTTGCGAGCTGGGTTCATCCTGGGTTTGCGAAGAACCCAGGACGAACCACCCAGGCGTGCGTTGGGTTCGTCGCGAACCCAAGATGTACTCGGGCGCGATGAACCCAAGTCACGCCTGGGTTCGCGACGAACCCAGCAAAGGTCTAAAAAAAAAAAAAGAGATGATAACGGAGGGAAAGGAGAGGATAAGACAAAAGGGAGAAGAAAATGGGGGTAAATTAGTGAAGATTTGAGGGCTTTGATGGAGGAAGGTTTGGCGAAGAAGAAGAAATCAATGGGATTAGAGGGGGATTAAGTTTAGGCAAAGGTAGAGAGGATCGGGGATTTGGGCTTAGGAAGAAGACAAGGATAGAAATGGGAAATGAAAAGATAAAGGGAAACAATGATTTTTTTCTTTTAATTATTTTAATTATTTTAAGACCTATTGATTACATGAAAAATAAATTTGATTGCCACCTCATCAATTTTGCCATGTGTAATCCTATGTTATCATTAAAAAGAAAAAAAGAAAAACATTTAACGGATAATTGTGTCATGCTGTCACTTAACTGACAGAAGGACTAAAAAGGGGTCGATTTCAAACAGTAAAGATAAAAAAAAAGATTTTTTCAGTATAGAGACTAAAAAAGGACTTTTTATAGAGGGATCAAAAAAGGTATTTAACCTAATATATTTGAATTGTGAGGAGTGGAGGGAAATGAAAATTTTTCCTTTATTTTTTCTTTTTAAGATTTTGCCTCTTCACCTAAAAGTTTGACTTTGTCCCTCGACATAGGCATAGAGAAAAATAGTACTCCTTCTATTCCATAATATTAGTCGTTTTAGGAGAAAATTTTTGTTTCTAAATAATTGACGTTTTAACATATCAATGTTGCATTAATTATCTTTCTTCCAAAATTACCCTCCTCTCTCTTAAAATGTCTGTACTACGCCTATTCATCTGCCTCGTTTTTTCTCATTTCTTCTTTTTCTTGTTTGAAATTCATTTTTTCTCCATTTCCCTTTTTATCCCTTCCATGACTCAAATCTATTTTGCCTCTTTCATCTTCTTTCGTCTTATATCTTTTATTCCATAATCGAAATTCATTTTTCCTCTTTCATCTTCTCTGTCATCTACAACCCAACCTTACTTTTCCTGTGTCTCTCACTAAGAATGCCAATGGTGGCACTTAGAACAGGGCTTATTGCCTTTGGATTCGATCCCAAGGAAAACGATCTTGCCTTCAACCATGGTGGATCTGAGGTCAAGCATGGAGATCTCTTTTATGTTTGATTGACAGTGGCAACACACTTATGAAGGGACCTTTTAAGGGGATCTGAGAGGAAATAAATGTGGGAATGGCGAAGGAAGGGATGAGAATAAGAAGATGGTGGCATTTGAGAGGAGTGAAGCCATTGTTGTCATGGATTGGAGAGGAGGATTTGGGAGAATCTAGTGAAGTAGGGGAGAAGATGAGGAGTGATAATGTCAGAAATTTTGAAAAGGGTAAAATAATACTTTTAACTTATAAATGCCTAAAATCAAAAGTAATAAATTACTTTTCTTAATCTATGTGCACAAGCCTAAAACGTCTAATATTGTGGAACAGAGGGAGTATATCGCAATGTAACAATTTATGGACAATAACTATTACCCATCAAAATGAACTGTACAATTTATTTATATATTTTAATATATAAATAAATTATATAATAACTCATTATATATAATAATATATTAAGTTTCTTTTACCCTATGCATATTAATACTTACAATTTAAAAACAATTCAAATAACAAAATTTAGTAACAATGAAAAGTCAGCTCACATGTTCATAATATTAAATTTAAAATAAATTTTTAATGTAACATGTGCCAGACCTTAACTCCTTGATTTGTCCTTTTTACTTGTTATATATATTCTTTTCTATTAAAATATGGAATGGGTTTTTTAACTATATTCTTGTCAACTTCTACCAAAACAATATAAAACCTTTGTGACCAACTGCGTAATAATGCTCCAATATCCATGTCGACGTGGAGCTGGTTGACGTGGCATTTTGGGTTCTGCTGTCTGAAGACCCTGAACCGGGAGGAAATGTTCGGTACCCTATTTAAAAAAAGTCTATTAATATCTAAAAAATGGCAGATTTTTTTGGGTACAGTGGATACTTTGGCTGACATTGCAGCCGGGATGACTCTGGCATTTTCAAATACTTTGATCACATTAACCAATACGTCTAAAGCTGCGGCTCGCAAGAGTTCCTTCTTTCACAACCATCAACCTTCTACCTTTTCCAAATGCTTAATTAAAATACCGGTTGACTCTGGTTTATGGTTTTTTGTTCAACTCTTTCGTTCTCAACTTCCTCGATCTACTTTCAGTTCAGCCACTGTCAGTTTTTTATAACTTTTATAAAGTATTTTAACTTTTAGTAGCAGTTTTACTTTATTTTTTTTATTTTTTTTTACCATATAGATGGTTAGGAAGTTACTAGAGTTAGTTTTGTTAGTCGCTGAAATTTTTTAGGATAGTGAACGTTCCATCCCCTCATATGAGGCGCACGACCATTAGATTGTAAGTTGGTGGAGTTCACGGCGATGACAGAACTTGAAACCCTAACCTCTGCCTCACCCAAACCCTGAGGCTTGGGGACCAACCATTGGGCCGCAGTTTTACTTTATTTTGATCTCCTGACATCAAATTATTTAATTTATTATACTCCATTAAATTAATTTACAGATTAAACTAATTTTTTGATAATACTATGTTTTATTGTAAAATTTACGTAATGATAACCTTAATCACAAACTTCTTCATCTTTCCCTTTTCACAATTCTTTTGTATAGCTAAACCAATAAATATTGATACGTGTTCTTTCCTTCACCGTCTACGTATGATTACTTTTTTAATTTAATCCGCTCTATTTTAATTCCTAGTTATCTATTTTATTATTTTTCTGTTAAATTAACTAACTCTTTCCTGACGTTAACTATGCTTCATAATTGAATGAGTTAAGATTGTAATCTAACTGTTAGGACTACCAAGTAAAGTACACCACTAATTAATAGACGCTTCTTGAATTACAGTATTTTGAAAATCAACCTCCATAATTCCATTATACCTAGCTACGGTTAACTTATATTACCTTCTCTTATAGCCGTCTTTCATGTTATCTTGAATTACTATGTTCGAATAGTTTATTACCAAATGTTATATACTGTCTATTATTCCAGGTGTGTACCTCTGGTAGGGGTGGGCACCCACATCACCTAGTTCAAACCCCATTCTTCCTCATTCTCCTCCATTCTCCCCCTTCCCTAATTCCCCTTGGAACAAAAAATATGTATTTATACTATGTATGAATATGATTTTTGAAAATAATTTTACTGTTTATTAATATGATTTAAAATCATCAACGTTCAAACCCCAATTCCCCAACATTAAAGTACATCATTATACATAATTAAACCTCAATTTAAAATATAAAAATTATTTATATAAAATATTGATCTTTTAATTTAGAAACTTATTATATTATAATATATAATGTATTTTCAAATCTATATATCAACATTTAATATGAAGATATCAAGTGCAATATATTGGTTGGGACTGCAATTGTTTTTCTTAATCAATACTGACATTGCACTAATACTCAAATTAATACTCATTTCTCCACTTGGTTTATTGTGTATATGATACAAAATTTGTATTATGTACATTAATAGTATAAGGTCAATAACTCTTATAACTACTTATAGTAAAAAAGTAAAATAAATATTATACTATTTTTTTTTTGACAGGGGTAATGGTTATAAGTTAGGAGTTAGAAGTTACTACTTTGCTCTTTGGTAAGGTTCGACCACTGGTTGGGGTACAATCCATCGACAGTCTTTTTGGACTGTAGTGGCCACCAATGAATCACAACAGAAGAATGCAGATATTATACTATTCAATGAGGCATTGGCCCATAAATTAAGATGTTACAAATAATAAAATTTAAAAAGTGCAGCACATTTTTTTAAGCTGCACCTTTCCTTCCTCAAACAAGAGGAACGTTGGTTTTCCTTCTTTTTTTTTTTTTCTTTTTTTTAATTCTTTCTCTACCCATTTCTTGCAGCGTTTGAATTCCCCTTTTTTAATTGTAAATAGTTAATATTATCAATATCTTCTTAAAATGAGGATATCACTATATTTAACTTCTTTTTTATAAACGTCCATCACTTGTGATCACATTTTCTCTTATTTAAGGACATAGGGTTCACTTTATTGAACCACTGTTCTGACCTCTCTTTTGTTGTATTAATATGATATTGTCTTCTTCTTTTCTAAGACATTGGTACTTCTCATTTTTTTTTTAAATGTTTAATTTATATTATGTTTGGGTAGAAGGGAACACTACTAGAAAAATGACGTATACAGACCGACCATATACGGACCAAATGCTATCGGTCCGAAAAACTAAATATTCGAACCAATATCGGTCTGAATATACCAATGAACATATTCGGACCGGTATCGGTCCGTATATTTCTGGCGGCGTCACAGTATAGACGAGCCAATAATATTCGGACCGGTTTCGGTCCGAATATTATTTCTGAAAAAAAATAAATATTAAATACCAAAAAATATTTCTGGCGGGAGTCCACAGTGTAGACGCGCCAATAATATTCGGACCGGTTTCGGTCTGAATATTATTTCTGAAAAAAAATAAATATTAAATACCAAAAAATATTTTTGGCGGGAGTCCACAGTGTAGACGCGCCAATAATATTCGGATCGTTTCGGTCCGAATATTATTTCTGAAAAAAATAAATATTAAATACCAAAAAATATTTCTGGCGGGAGTCAACAGTATAGACGCGCCAATAATATTCGGACCGTTTTTGGTCCGAATATTATTTCTGGAAAAAATAAATACTAAATACCAAAAAATATGAATAAAATATTATTTAACTAAATATATACGGACCGTCTTCGGTCTGTATATATCCATTAGGGAATATCTCTGAATCGATTGGACGCTGGGTCCCACTGACAGTTTTTTTCGGACCGGTATCGGTCTGGATAAGGCTGCATGCAGCCTTCTTCCCTTCGGTTCGCCCGTCCCCCCATCCTTCGATTTCTCCACAATTTTCCTCTGTTTTTTCTGTCTTTTTTCTTCCTTTCCACTGCAAGCTTCTCCTCCAATCTCTGGCCAACCACCAC